TTAACAAATTTTGGAATGATTTCTTTCTTTAACTCTTATCCTGGTTCTCATAGCTTTACTGCTGGTATCACTAATTGTCTTTGGAGACATGGTTACTATATTTTATACAAATAAGCACAATGATGAATGTTTTAACAAACTAACACAAGCACTATATGTTGTCTAGGCCAAGTGGTACTTAGACTGAAACTACATGCAGTTAGCAAAGCCAGCTCAAGAGAGAAGCCATGAGGGCTGCAACCAGCAAAGCCTTTTGGAGCTCACACCTTGCTATGCCCTGGATGCTGGGCATGGGACTCTTAACTACAGGATTTAATATTTTCCCTGATGGTTTTTGGCTTTGCTTTATTTCTACTTCTATTAGCTTATTTATTCCTTTTGGAATAGGAATGCTACCTTGTCCCATTGCATGTTGGCAATGTTTTACTCTCTTTTTGAGTTTTACAGGGACTGACAGCAATTTACCTTGAGCCTCAGAGGAGACTTTGGACTTGGACTTTTGGACTGGCATTGTTAACACTGTTGAAACTCTTAGAGATAGATTAAATGCATTTTACATAAAGGGATGTGCATGAATCTATTGGAGGCCAGGGGTGGAATGTTGTAGTTTGGATTTGGAAGTTCACCTAAAACTCAGCATCTCAGTGGAGGGATTTTTAGAAGGTGACTGGACCACGGCAGCATTATAGCTGACTTGCTATTAGGAGGTGGGGCCTGGTAGGAGGTGGGTACTGGCAGTGTGTCCTAGAGGGATATATCTCCCTGACTCTTCTCTGTCTGCTTCCTGGCTTCCACTGCCTGAGAACTGTTCCTTTGCTACATCTTCCATCATGCCCTTTCTGTCTGGGAGCCAGCCTCCTGTGGGCTGAATCTTCTGAAACTCTGAGCCTATAAACCTTGCCATTAAGTTGTGGGTATTAGGTATTGTATCTCAGCAGTGAGAAAAATTGAATATGAAAGGTGGTATACAGTTGTTCACAGTATGCTCTTATAATCCTTATTTCTATAATGTCAGTAGCAATGTGCCCTTTTAAATGTCTGATTTAAATCACTTGAGTCTTTTTCTTTCCTGGTCATTGTAGCTTATTGATATTTTCAAATAACCAACTTTTGGTTTTGTTGATTTTTGTGTATGTTCTTTATTCTCTATGTCATTAATTTTTTACTCTGTTATTTTCTTTTCATTGACCTATCTTTAGATTTAATCTGTTTTTTTTTGACAATGTCTTAATGTGGAAGTATAGATTGTTGATTTGAGATCTTTCTTCTTTAATATAGCTTTTATTGTATACTTTCTTCTAAACACTGCTTTTAGATGCATTCCCTAAATTCTGGAATATTATATTTCCATTCAGTTTAACTATTCTGATTTCTCTGGTAACTTCTTCTTTGACCCATTATTTAGGATGGTGTGTTGTTTCATTTCCATACATTTGTGAATTTCCCACATTTCTTTATTGATTTTTAATTTCATGAATGTGACTGGAGAATGTATGATTTCAGTTCTTTCAAATTTTATTGAGGCTTGTTTTATGGCATAGCATATGGTCTATTCTGAAGAACATTCCATGTGGATGTGAGAAGAATGTGTGTTGATTTTGAAACCTCTACATCACTAGAGATCAGCAGATGCTTTGGGGGTTACCACTGGTTCCCGTGTGCTGATTATATCACTGATTTATTCCTTCATTTTATTTCTGCCTTCTGAGGATTTCCCTTCCTCGGATCAATACCAGATCAGTAACTCACTTAAAGAGTTCTATTCATATTTGCTCTAGTAAAAAGATAATGATTTATTCAAGCTGTCTTACACTGTTACCTTGCTAGAAGTAAGTTCTATTACACTATTCCTTATTGCCCCATCTTCAAAAATCTTTTTTGCTCTTTAAAGAAAAGCAGTACTGCCTGTGGTGATTGGTGCCAGAGTATTCAACAGGAATACTGTTTTAGATGGTGATTGGATAGCTACATAAATATAACTGAAAATATATTCAACAAGAAATATAGACCTGTGTGAGAATGATTTTTTGAAAAATACTTTTGTAGGGAAATACCTCATGTAATGACTCAGCATCATAACTGGGATAATATGTTTAATAAATACTTGGATTATGAGGACACTGTGGTCTATAAGAATTCAATGAATGATAAACATGGGCTTATAAAGTTCATGTAAAAGTAAAGCATTTGATGAAAATAAAAACATTCTAAAAGTAAAGGTTAGGGTCTTAATGTTACAACCACAGTATTACTAGTGCTAGGACTAAAGCTACTGCAACTGTTTCCTTAGAAAAGCTCAGACCTTTGGGCTGGTAGTAATTTAGAAGATCTTAATGGCTGATAATTCCACAGCCTGGACATCACTCACTTTCCCTGTGCAAACTCAAACTTGAGTGAGAGGATATCATTCACAAAGATTGCATATGACCAGTAACAGTTATTTAATTGCATTCCTGAACACTATTCTCCTTTCCTTACTTGGTAAGGGACAGTAGAATGGTTTCCTGATGCTTATTTGTTCAGGATTCTTCTTTCATTTGACAGTCACAGTCAGGCTTCTTTGTATTACTACCAGCATCTGCCTTACAGAACCTTAGTAACATATTAGCCTATGAGGAATCCTATCAGAGGAACATGGTAAGTAGCAGAGCAGTTTTGAAACAGAACCTCCCAATGGATGAGTCATAAATGGGTTACAGATGTGCTCGTAGAGTGGTAGCCAGGCTTGGGGTGGTGGAGCCACAGAGCCTAGTTGCCTTCTATGTTAACAGTATGTGAACAGCTTCCTCCTCCACTTAACTATGCACTGTGCAATTATGTTTTTCTTTGAGTCCCAGTAAAGTCTTTTTTAAAAAATCTTGGAAACTACTGTTCTAAGCAATTAGCTTGGAACAGTGAGAATATGAATAATATCAGTTATGTAAACAGTCATTTGGTTTAGGGACCAAAATAGCAGATTCTAGCAGAAAATGGATGAGGGGGCAGATCACATTTTTTTTTTAAACTCTTGGAGTTCACTCTTATTTTAATATTAGACATTATATCATTAATATATATTTATTAGCATCACTTTTTTGTTCCTTTTATTTGTTTATACTCATGCATTTACCCAGATAAGTTCCAGGAGGGATGAAAAGTTGAGAACTGATCATAAAATAACTAAAAGGAAAGTCAGAGAATACCATTTGATATGACTATGTACAGAAACAAACCAGAAAGAAAAATGTTACGTGCTTAGTTGTATTGAAAAATTCTAGGGGCTGGGTATTTAGCTCAGTGGTTCGGCGCCTGCCTCACAAGCACAAGGACTGGAGTTCAATCCCTGGTACAAAAAAAAAAAAAAATTCTAAAAATGAGTTAAAAGACAAGGCAATGAGAAAACAATAATAACACATTTGCAATAATTTTTAAAAATTTAACATAAAATGACATCTCAAGATGAACTGAGAAATAAATGACATCAAGACTTGATTCAAAAATCAAGAGCTGCAATGACCAATAAATACATGAAACATTCAGTTAGAAAAATAAGTATTAGTTAATGAGCGACTATACATTTTTGCATACAATTTGATAACTTTCACTTGCACAAAAAGAAACAGGTCCTTTATATGACTGTTGTTGTGTAATGTGATGAACATTTCTGCAAATCAGTTTGTTAATTCACAACAAAAAATGCTTTAATATTCATACTATTTGAGTTAACTTTTAGGAATTATTCTGAAGAAATGATCAGAGATGACATGAAGATGTGTGGAAATGATGTTCATCACAGCTACATTTCTATTGTGATAAAAATTAGAAGCAGCCTAAATCCATAAATACGGGAAAAAATAATGGATTATCATGAGATTCTGAGAGATCACTGAAATACCTGAAAAATATTTAAGATATGATCAGTAGAGCCTTTGCAATATATAACTTGATATCTAAGAAAGAAAACAACAAAAAATTACATCCAAGGTATAGCTGGTCTTCATTCAGATTACTGTTTCTCACTTCTAGCACTGTCCAAAAAGCTTCAAAGAGAAAATTTGATTAAAAGTGTTCACAGTTAGTTTCTCCAGACAGAAGCAATTATCAGTGCTTTGGCAGAAATGGACCTTCCTATAGGTAATTTGTTTTTATAACTCTGACAACTTTGTGACATCACTGATACTTATATGTATTCCAATTCAGAGTTGTTAAAAATGTGAAAAATGATGTGTCTAGAATGAATGGAATATGTTTCATACATATACTGAGGAAAATATTCCAAGATTAGCAGTGGAGGCCAATTTGTTGGATTGCATATTTATTTTACAAATTTCTCTGTGTATATTTGTTACATATATTTGAATGTTTATTTTAATTAGGATTTCCATAATTATCTACTGTTTTTAAAATTTGATGTCCTCCGCTAATATTAGAATCACTGCCAACTTTTCATAATGAAGTTTATACATTTAGAGTTTTTATAATTTTAGTTCTTTGGAAAAGGGCCATGTTTATTTTCGCTGTAGACCTATGAGTTCTTTCTGTTAGCAGGTATATCCAAAACACCCCAAATGTCTGCTTGGAGAGAGATAAAGGAGAGAGGAATGTCTCAGAGCACAGCCTCTGGAGTCAGAACTGTGCTCCAGTTTCAGCTTTGATACATATTGATTGTGTAGCCTTAGGCAAGTTATTTAAATAGTCCAGTGACACAGTTTCTTTCTTTTGATGACAGTAGTAATTATGCTGTTGATGGAATTAACACTGGTATCACTATTACTATTTGCAACCTGGTCTTTAAGATTAACTACTTGGTAATAAGGGTTTTATTTTAGCATCCTTTTCCTATTTACTCTGGTCATCCTCAACAATGCCCATACTTAAGACTTTTGAAAATGTATCAAGCTTTTTAGTTCTTTATTGTTGAATGACATATTTCCTATTGTAATAGGTATATATTCTAGATTAGCATAAATTTAAAGCATATACCAGGCAGAAAGGAAAATTTTACAGATCATTCTCCTGAATAGATACGCAGAATCCCAAACAAACCAAACTGACCAGCAAATAAATCCAGTAATATGTATTAAACATTAAATTTCATGGGGCTGGGAGTATATCTCAATGGTAGAACTTAGCATGCTGAGCCCTGGGTTGATCCCTGGCACCTAAAAAAAAAAGAAAAGAAAAATTACACATCATGCCCAAATGATTGATTGCTAGGAATACATGATTAGTTTGATATAAAGTCAGTATAACTTATCACATAAAATAAATGATGATCCCAAATAGTTGTAGTAAAAGCATCTCATAAAACTCAGTATATGCAAAATGTAATTGTTAGCAAACTAGGACAATTGCTAAATCTGATCAAAGAGATACTTAACAAAAACCTACAGTTAACTTCCTATTAATTGTTGGTTTTCTGCTATATCCCTATCAGGCTCAAATTTTTTATGTTCTTATTAGCTATTTTTGGTTTTTTCTCTTTAGTCTAATGTATTCTCTCTTTTTTTAATTTGACTTTGAAAGAGTATAGTTTGTCTTTTATCTCTCCTAAATTATTCATTTCATTGTTAGTTTTCTCCAACTATTATATCTAAAATATCTGCCTTTTATAATCATTATTTCAAAAGGGAAAAAAATCAAAATGTAAATTTCTTTCTCTCAGTGTGAATAACATTGAGTTACATCATTAGAAGTAGGGTGGTGTCAATCATGACAGTGGTGTCAGCCTGACTCGAATGGACAAGTTGTGTGCTCCAGTGGAGAACATCATATATTGAAAATGATTGTCAATTCTCTGATACTAAAATATTCCTTAACATTCCTCTAAACATTTATCTAAACTAGTATAATTTTTTAATCATAGGAGTCTTAAAAATTCATTTCACATAATGTATGCCATGTAACAGTATGGCTTGGTTGTATGGTGGATGGTCCTAGACTACAACAGGAAGCAGTGGAAATGCGTGAGAGGCAAGCAGTGAGCAAGGGTTTTTTCTATGAGCAGTCATGTAGTTGTTGAATCCTGTTCTCAGATTCAAAGAACCCTTTTGATTGGCTGTCCATCATTATGAATTCTACATTATTGCACATGTAAATAAGGTATGTCTCAATAGCAAGTTAAAATTAAAGCATATTTTATTTTAGTTTCGGTACTGGGATCATTCTTGGGACCTTGTGCTTGTGAGGCAGGCAGCCAAACCACTGAGCTAAAGCCTCAGCCCTAAAACATGTTTTTGGGTTTTGTTTTTATTTTTGTTTTTGTTTTTTTGGGGGTACCAGGATTGAACTCTGGATGTTGTGCTTGCAAGGCAGGCAGCAGAATCACTGAGCTAAATCCCCCTGGCCCCCTAAATCACATTTTAAAAAACTACATCGTCTCCTGTCTGTATAAAACTTAGTCTAATTATGTAAAAAATTACCATTTTCATTTTGTCCTGTGCTTTAATAACATGGAAAAGTCCAAGTTGCTTTGTTTGGTTTTCTCTAAGAATAATGCAATATATTTAAAACACTGCCAAGTTCTCAAACAAAACTGTATCATATACGATATTGGTGGAAGAAGTATTGCATGTGTAATCAAAATGCTCAGAAAAATATACTTATTTTACTAGTTTCAGAAAAATATGTACTATAACTTGCTATAATGAAATATACTTATAGATTTGTATTCTACATGCCTATTTATCTGGAATAATTATTAAAGAGGTATCCTCATAAGTTTAATATTTTAGTTATCTAAGCTTTATCATAACCAGATTTTAAAATAACTATTTTCTAAATAATACAATGAAATACTCATAGAACTAAAACTACGAGGAGCTTAATTAAATCATTGATGACTCAGGAAGCAATTTAGAATCTTACAGTACCTGAATTCACAATGAACCTCACTTATGTTTAGACAAAACTATGAAAATTTTAGTTATTTGAGTCCCCCCCACTTTTTTTTGGATTATGTCCTGGCTTTTATCTAGATGTCCCCCAGAGCCTCATGCTTAGGATGAGAAATTTAGAAGGTAACTGGATTAGGGTGTGAAAGTGCATAAAGAGTGTAATAATGGGATTAAGTGGTTGGATAATGGGAGCCCCAATCATAGGCTTACAGCATGGATGGAACATTAGGGAAGAGAGGATAAGCAACCTTACTGCTGCTGCTTGCTGACTTCTGCCTGCCCTACCTTGCCATGGACAGTTTCTTCCCTGTGATGCCCCTCTGCCATGCTGCCCTGCCTTGGAGCAGCCAACTGTGGACTGAAACCTGTGTGAACTGTAAGCTGAAATAAACCTTTCCACCTTTAACTTTTGGGGTCAGATATTTTGTCCCAGAAGAGAAAAAAATAACAGACAGATATAAGTAAACAGTATATTTTGAAAAGGTCATGAAAGCTGTATCATGCATATTTTATGTGTGAATGTGTGTGTGTGTGTGTGTGTGTGTGTGTGTGTGTGTGTATATATATATATATATTTTTTTTTTTTTTAAACCAGTGATTGAACTTGGGAACTTGCTCTTGTGAGGCAGGTGGCAGCACCACTAAGCTAAGTCTTCAGTCTTCATATATTTTTATATGAATCTAACATATCCTTGTTTTAGACATTATAGAAAGGTTGAAACTTACCTCCCTATCACCTCTTACTGGTAAGTAGATCTGATAATTACTCCAGTTACCCTTAACCAGAGTCTCTTAAAGAATGACCTGTGGACCATATGTCTTCAAATCACCTAGGATACTTGCTATAAATGAAATTTCCTGAATCTATAACCAGATTTACATTTGGGAAATCATTGCATCTGGGAAAGATTCCAGTATATTTCAATT